GGCGGCGGCGGCGGCGGCGGCGGTGATGAGAGTGAGTCTCCTTCTTCTGTTGAGTTTTTTCTCGGAAAAGCTTGGGCGTCCGTGTTGTGCACTCTGGGAGAGTACGGAAAGGGAAACAGCGTGTAGGGTGCTTGAACTGCGCGCCAGAGACCTTTGCCCCAGTGGTCGCTCGCTGGAGGACACCTGTAGTCCCTTCCGTTCACCATCTCTCGACGCCAAAACGACATCCTCGCTCCACACATGTGTCTGCGTTTTGTGTTCGCCCGCCTCTCCTCGGCAAACACGCTGCCAAAAAAAATCCGTTCGGGGGCCGTCCTCCCCTAGGCTCGTCTTCATCCGATGATGACGACGAAAAGGATGACGACGAGGCGGACGAGACCCCCCTTATCCTTGACGACGAATTCCCTTCCTCCGAGTCTGAGTGCAGCAGCAGCGGCAGCAGCAGCGACGGCGGCCCGCCGGCCCTGGAGTCCTCGTCCAACACCGACAGCGACAAGGGGGCGGGTGCTTCATGGCGAGTACCACTCTGTTCGAAAATGTATAGGTCATCCGGATACAAGGATGCATGCCACAATGGTCCGTCTATTTCCGGACAGAAGTGGTATTATAGTTATATCTGCCTGTCGTAGCTTTGCATGTCTTCTTTTCTTGCACACAGTAGCGACGCGGTCTTTTGTGATGTTTTTCTGCCTTGCCCCAAGCGATTAGGCGTGGATACTACACCAGTAGCTGAAACCTTCGGCGGTACTAATGGTTTGTCGTTGGTTTGGAAATTCCCTGGTGTTTTCGTCCGGTGTTCCAGGGATGGCCACATTCAACCGATGGGCTAGGGGAGGGGGTACGATGGTTTTCCTACGCAAGGGAAGAGCTATGCCCCGTCGGAAAGAAAAAAAAAGTTGAACGCCGTGATGTATCAAGATCATGGGGTGCAAGATGCACCGCCCAACTCTCGGTTATCTCGGTTGGCCCCGTCCCACCTGACACCATCTCATACTACACCCCCCATCACCACCGTCCATGCTCCTTAGGGGTGCGAGGTCAATGGTCTAGTGGCTACGGCATGCGTTTACATGAGTATGCCCCTCCCCCACCCTCTCTGCCCCCGCCCACACGTTATCCACCTGCCTTTGTAACCCTTAAACAGTGGCGGCACTCTGTACTCAGAGTACGTGCTGGCGCGGGAGGGGCACCCGGGCCCTACGGCGTCGATGGCTTTCTGGCGGGACAAGAAACACTCCACAAGCGCTGTCTTCACCGACTTCTTCGTTCAGAAGGTCGGTTGCTGCTGGCATTGTCGGGTGCCTGTCTCCTCTCTCCGACGTACCGGTGGTTTAGCGAGCAAGGAGGGTGTGGAGGCCGCGCCTTTATTCGGCGATCGGGGCGTCTGGTTGCCGTCAACGTAAAGTCTGGTTTGCGTATGATTGTACATGGCAGGCCCCAACGTCAGAATCTAGATAGGAGACATTTCGGCCTGTGTTCCCCTTCAAATCAGAAGAGATTCAGCTCAACCCTGCTATCCCCAACCCTTATTGATGTGAGAGCTTGGTCCGGTGATAACCCGGCGTGCTCTGTCCCGGCTTTTTAGGGATGCGAGGTCAATGGTTCAACGACTATTGTACGGCATGCACGACTACGAGTATACCCCCAGACCCACGTCGTGGCTGTCATTTACCCCGCACATAGGAAAATGAACACGGTAAGCTGGCGCGCATGCTTCGTGTACTAAATTAACGTTTCTCGCCTATTGGCCGGCCAGTTCTGTGGTCGAACGGCGGTGGAAGGTGGAAGGCACCAAACGAGAATCGTGAAGTACGGACCACTTACGACCGTTTCTCGTGCTTTTCAAACCGATGTCTAGGTGGTGAGGGGGAGGCCGATCCCTCACGTGGGCACGGCGCTGTTCCTGAAGGACTTCCCGAGCGGCTTTCCGGAGTTCGTGAGCTGCGTTGGCCAGATGAAACTGGCCAAGTTCAAGGAAACCTCGGGTAAGCCCCCAGCCGCAGCCGCCGCAGCCGCCGCTGCCACCGCTGCTGCCACGCACTTGGTTTCATACTTCTTCTTTTTGCTCTGGGTCTGCTGCTGCAGGGTCGGGGGCATTTCTGGTTTTGGTGTAGTTGCCGCGGCTTTCTGCTCACCGCTGCTGTCTCGGCTGATGTCGCAGCTGTTTGGAACACCTGCTGTCGCGCGAGGCTACTGCTTTGTTTCGGAGGCGCCGCTGTTGTTCCTACTGTATCATGCTGTCGCTGCCGTCCTACGATCTGGAAATCGCCATTCGTTTGCTTCGGTCTTGACGGGGGGAGGCGGGCTGCCTGTGTGCTTCACCGTGCGTGATGGTGAACCCGACAAAACAAAACAAGCTTGAGCAACAATTACGACGACAACAAAACAACGACAGGCCCTGATGTCCCGCACGGATTCTACGAGTACGCCCGGGACGCGGCTAGCCGCAACGCTAAGATAATGATGGCCAAGGTGACATGACAGAGGGCAGGGGACAGATATGTATAGGGTTGTCTTTTGCGCGAGGAACGGTGCTGGAGAATCGACGGGAGGATGGAAGGGTGGGGTGTGTTTTGGGGGGGGCGGTTGCACTTATAGTCGTGCATGCCGTTGTCGTTAGACCATTAACCTCGCATCCCTACAAAGCCGGGACGGAGCACGCCGGGTTCTCACCGGACCAGGCTCTCACATCACCAAGCGCGAAGCGCCGTGAGGTATTTGGCGAGTCGCATGAAGGGTGCACTGCATCCTGCTAAGGGTTTTCGGCATCTTGTGCTTACTTCCTTGCGTACGGATGACAGCTGCGTATGAATTACTGTCTGGTGCTTTCACTTCCAGAGACAGTTATAAGCACTGTGTAACTAAGTGCCTCGAGGATGCTTGACCAATTTAACACAACGTGGTGCGATCACCCCCCTTGCACGGAGTGAGGGCTCTCCACCCCGCACAACATGATCCACTCGACCACCATTATGGTTACCGCCAAAAAAAACACAGAGGTAAAAAAAAACGGTAACCTGGTAAAACGAATTCACCGAGTGAATTGGCTTGTTTTACAGCGTCGTTGCCAAGCGACGACAACCCAATCCCGATGGCAAACACCTAGGGAGGGGCTTATTTTACAACGTCGTTGCCAAGCGACGAAAACCCAACCCCGATGGCAATCACCGGGGGGGATCGGTTGGGGGGTGGGGGGTGACTTCGCAGTTGTGTGCCCCCCTCCGCGTAACGATACTCCTGTGGTGAGCATTTCGTTTGTGGCAAGATGAGGTAGTTGCATTGGAAGTGGGCGATGACTCGCGGGGCTTGGTTCGGTGGTAAGAGTGCCATTTGGCCTGATGTTCACGGTCTTACGTGTTCGGTGGTCTACGCACTGCTGTGTTGCCGGAGCTCGGTGCCCGTGGTTACAGAATAGGCGTGTATTCTTCATACGCGGTGCCCGTCTTGGTTGCAGTGGCGAGCATGTCCTACTCGACACCTATGCTAGAACCAATGCCTTGCGACGGCACGCTTGGACAGCTCAGGAAACACCGCTACTTTTGGCCTTCTTGTGACTGTCCCCTCTCCCCCAACAGAGAAGCCAGCGGAAGTCCATGCCCCGGAGCGGCCCCGCAGCCAGCGGCAAGGGAGCTACCAGCGGCGGCGGCGGCGGCGGAGAAGGCCCGGTGGACAGCGCCAGCGACGCCGGCGGCGCGGCCATCGCCAGGGCGATGCGGTGCGACTTCGAGTCGATCGCGAACCAGCGGCGGGAGGCAAACTCGACCATCGCAGCCCTCGAGTCGAAGGCGAGTTAGGGTTACGGTGGTGGGCCTCCTAGGAGGGAATATGATCGTTGTTCAGGGCTTGGTTGCCGGTGTTGGTCGGGGTGCATCTATGCCATGCGAAATTGTGGTCTACTCAAGCGAAAATCCACGGAATCAGATGATGATTTTTGGCAGCACGCCTTAAAGATTGGGCTGAAAATTATATAGGGTGTGCATTTGGTTGAAACAAAATGGTACGTCGTATATATTCTTTGGAATTGTGAAGGCAAAGTCAAACCATTAAACTAGTCAGCGAAGACTAGCCTAGTGTTGTGATTTCGGCTTCTGTTGGCCACTATACAGGGATTGTCGCTGTACAGCACTGCTGTGTCGAGGCGTTACCTACCACTTGCTCGGTGCTTTGTGCCATCCCTTCCAGAGATCCAAGGAGCTGATGACGACCAGCAGAGTGTCTCATGTCTACTCCCTCTTCCGCAATTCTGGTGCCGTTGCCACTCCCACCAGCCCCAGCTCCCACACAAAGACCAATGCTTCGTATCATGCCGCCTCTGTTCCTTACCGCCGCCAACTCCGTCCCTACCAACAACCGCCGCTGACGATCTTTCCACCGCCTACGTTCGTGACGTCCGTGTACCCGGCCCGTCCAACAAAAACAAAATTAAAGATGCGCGTGACTCTGGAGGCCCTGGAGCAAGCCCTCGACCGCGAGACGGCGCGAAACGCGAAGTGTCTCGCGACGGCTCAGAAGGAAGCCGCCGACGCACAGGCCGCCGCCAAGGCCAAGGCCGTGGAGGCTGCTGCGGCCGCCGAGGTTGAAGCGCTCAGCCGCGGGCAGGATGGATCGGGAGGGAGGTATCTGCAATGGTTTGTACGGTCTGCTGGGGGGGTGGGGGAGTCGGATTCTGTCTGCGGTGGTTGTAGGTTTTGCTGGGAATCCGTTTTGTTTTTCTTTTCGTGTCTGCTGGGAAGGTAGGGTTCAAGGGCTACAACAGATGGAAAAACTCGTTGGCTCTTCGGCTCTCAGGAGGACGCTTTGCGAAGGGAACGCTGCTGCTTGTGTGCTCGGCATGCTTTGGAGTCTTGATTCCACCGCAAGCTCCCTACTACGAGAAGTTGTTTTAGTTTGTGTTGTTGCTTTGTCGTGTTTGTTGTTGATAGTTGTGTTGACCACGGAGAAAATTTTGTGGCCCCTCCGCCTGGACTTCCACCACGGAATGCTCACCTTGGAAGGCTGCCACAAAGAAAACTGCATCAACAACACCGAACAAACTTTGATTACACCCAAGATCGGGTCTCCCGACAACTTTCCACAACATTTGCCACCTCTTTTCCGCCAATGGTCTAACCGCTAGGGCACACCAAACACGAGTATGCCCCCCCCCCTCTCCCCCCTTCCTTTTTTGTTCCAGCTTTTCGATCCCAGAGGCGCTGGAGCGCGCGGAGGTCCTGAAGAAGCGTGCGAACACCGTTCTCGCGGACACGAGATACCCCGAGGCGGTGGAGCAGTACACGCTAGGGATCAAGGTGCTCGCACTCTCTTCCTGATGGGTCTGCCCACAGTAGCTCTGCTTGAGGCTGATGGGGGGGGGGGGG